GAAGAAAAGAAGCCAGAATCCGGGAAATTTTTTGACTTCCATCCGTTCAGTAAAACGAGTGATAAAGATGATGAAGAAAAAAAGCCAGAGTCTGGGAAATTTTTAGATTTTCTCCCGTTTGGTAAAACAAAGGATAAAGAAGTGGAAGAGGAAATTGATTCTGCATTGCAGGAGTTTGGTGTCAACACCCAACCACTCAGTGACACGATCGGAAAAGATAAAGAAGAAAAAAAGCCAGAGTCTAGGAAATTTTTTGACTTTCATCCGTTCAGTAAAACGAGTGATAAAGATGAAGAAGAAGAAGAAAAAAAACCAGAGACAAAATTTTTTGATTTTCTCCCGTTCGGTAAATCAAGGGATGAAAATAAAGAAGTGGAAGAGGAAATTGATTCTGCATTGCAGGAGTTTGGTGTCAACACCCAACCAGTCAGTGACGCGATCAGAAAAGATAAAGAAGAGAAAAAGCCAGAATCCAGGAAATTTTTTGACTTTCATCCGTTCAGTAAAACGAGTGATGCAGTTGAAGAAGAGAAAAAGCCAGAGTCTGGGAAATTTTTTGACTTTCATCCGTTCAGTAAAACGAGTGATGCAGTTGAAGAAGAGAAAAAGCCAGAGTCTGGGAAATTTTTTGACTTTCATCCATTCAGTAAAACTAGTGATGCAGTTGAAGAAGAGAAAAAGCCAGAGTCAGGGAAAGTTTTTGACTTTCATCCGTTCAGTAAAACGAGTGATGCAGTTGAAAAAGAAAAGAAGCCAGAGTCAGGGAAATTTTTTGACTTTCATCCATTCAGTAAAACAAGTAATAAAGATGATGAAGATGAAAAACCAGAAACAAAACTTTTTGACTTTCTTCCATTCAGTAAAACGAGTGGTAAAGTTGAAGAAGAGAAAAGTAAAATAGAGTCTGTAGGTGAAGGATTTGTTGATGATTCTCAATCAATCAATGAATCAACTGGTAAATACAGAGAAGAGAAATGTCAGGACTATGCATATCAAGACTTTGTTGACGATTCTCAATCAATCAATGAATCAATTAGCAAAAACAGAGAAGAGAAACATCAGGACTATGCATATCAAGACTTTGTTGATGATTCTCAATCAATCAATGAATCAATTGGCAAATACAGAGAAGAGAAACGTCAGGACTATGCATATCAAGACTTTGTTGACGATTCTCAATCAATCAATGAATCATTTGGCCAAGACAGAAAAGAGAAAAAGCTGGAGTATGCATATCAAGACTGTGTTGACGATTCTCAATCAATCAATGAATCAATTGACAAATACAGAAAAGAGAAAAGGCTGGACTATGCATATCAAGACTATGTTGATGATTCTCATTCAATCAATGAATCATTTGGCAAAGACAGAGAAGAGAAAAAGCTGGAATATGCATATCAAGACTATGTTGACGATTCTCAATCAATCAATGAATCAATTGGCAAATACAGAGAAGAGAAAAGGCTGGACTATGTATATCAGGACTATGTTGATGATTCTCAATCAATCAATGAATCATTTGGCAAAGACAGAGAGGAGAAAAAGCTGGAGTATGCATATCATGACTATGTTGATGATTCTCAATCAGTCAATGAATCAATTGACAAAGGCAGAGAGTCTGTACATCATGAGTTTGTGGATGATTCTCAACCAATCAGTGATCCAATTAGCAAAGATAAAGAAGAGAATAAGCCAGAGTCCAGAAAATTTTTTGACTTCCATCCATTCAGTAAAACGAGTGATACAGTTGATGAAGAGAAAAAACCAGAGTCTGGAAAATTTTTTGATTTTCTCCCATTTAGTAAAAAAAGTGATGAAGATGATGTAGAAAAAAAGCCTGAGTCCGGGAAATTGTTTGATTTTCATCCATTCAGTAAAACAAGCAGTAAAGGTGAAGAAGAAAAAAAGCCTGAGTCTGGAAAATTTTTTGATTTTCTCCCATTTAGTAAAAAAGGTGATAAAGAAGATGAAGAAAAAAAGCCCGAGTCGGGAAAATTTTTTGATTTTCTCCCGTTTAATAAAGCAAGTGATAAGGAAGTGGAAGAGGAAATAGACGCTGCATATCAAGAGTTGGGTGTCAACTCTCAACCAGTCAGTGAATCAATCGGCAAAGATAGAGAAGATAATAAGCCAGAGTCAAGGCAATTTTTTGATTTTCTCCCGTTCAGTAAACCTAGTAATAAAGATGAAGAGAAAAAGCCGCAATCTGGGAATTTTTTTGACTTTCATCCATTCAGTAAATCAAATGATGAAGAGAATAAAAGAACAGAGCCTAAATCTCCACAGTTTGTGGACCATTCACAGCCATTCAGTGAACCAATCTATAAAGAAGTGAGAAAAACAGAATATGAGAATTTTAATGATTTTCACACGTCTCCAAACCAGAATGATGACACAAAACCGTACGTCATGATATTAATAATTAATTCCTATTACAGGTCTTTATTGATAATCTATTTTGAAAATTTAATTAACTATTAATGATATTTCTATCAATACTTAGTTTCATAAAATTAAATTTAATTAATTCTGGCAATCAGTATGACCTCTTGAACAGCTGTGTTTCACTGTAATATATATGTAGTATTGAACAGCCTTTAGTTTGCAACATGTGATGGACCATTATGACACTGTCAATTGCTGTCTTAGTATAGTACAAGTCAATATCATATATGTATCACTACTGGTAGCTGAGCCTTAAACTGCTTCAATTTAACAAGAGACAAATATTTGCAAATTTCACAAGCCAGGAAATTCACTATAATGTTACGCATCTCTGTGAATGACCTTAATTCCCAAATTACAAACATTTCCACTTGATTACAGTAGGTGAATGCACTTGATACATTTATACACTTGATACAGGGTTTCAGATTTCAAAGCAGAAATTTATAAAGTGGCCTTATAATTTGGGATTAGTATGTGGAATATTAAAGGGCATCAAGGCAAACTCCCTGGGCATTAAAGCATAGATTTCTCTGTAAAGTTCAAGTTCAAGCCCTATTACTGATTTGAATACACAGTGTTATCAATATGATATGTAGGTTTAGTTTTATTGAATGACTATTTCATCCTAGAAACCCTAGATTTCACTATCATTTTGTGAAAGCAGAAAGTCGTTAATTTTGAAGTTTGTATGAATATCAGATTGTCATGGCAACCTTCATTTTATTTTGATAGGTTGGATTGAACAAAAATTAATTCAAGTCTGAAAATGACCTTGTTTAATGTAGGAGTACTATAAATACTGTAGTTCAAAACTGTACGTGTCTGTGTGTCACCATTATGAAATGAACCACAAACATTTCTTATCCATGTTTTACATTACCGTAAATTGTGTTTATTCCTGTCAATCAAACATTTGATCAAACAGGCTTTTTAGTAAACATACATCAAAAAAATTAAAGACTACACATTGCAGTGAATTAATATTGGTTTCTTGAAAATCTATATTAAAAGGATATGGTAAAGAATTATGCAAGCACAATTTTCAGACTTGCTGCGGATGCCAATAACTACAACTAACAAGATTCATGATATATATTGAAATACCTTTTTAGACCAGATATTTGTAAAAGTATTCTCTAAGTAGCTTGAATTATCACCTTTTGATAGCAATTATATGTAATAGTTTTAACTGATTTTCATTTTTTATATTTACAGTTTTGTTGATACAGAAGCAGTGGAAGCACATTGGCAGTCTCGGGGAATACATAATCCACATGAAGTTTTAGAGGTAATTATTATAATTTCAGTATTCATTCAGGTCCTATGTATCATTAGATTAATGAGATTGTCCTGTGTCTATTGGGTCACCTGGTTTGCTAAATGAGCAGTAATGTGCTTGCCACAATTAAATTTATATTCAGGTGAAAGTCAAGTTGTATTTGATGTGTATAAAAAATGTTTTAATTATATTTATAGTTTAATTCATTAATTGTTTGGTTATAGAATAAATGATGAAAATAAGGCAGTTTGGGATGGCATCAACCTACATGCCAGACTGCCATCTTGTTTTTTGATAATAATATAATAATAGATTACAGCCAAATATGTAAATGAAAAATATCTTGCACTGTGTAAATACACATTCTGTATCCATCAGATAGAATACT